CTTGGAACAACGGGGTAGAGGGAGCAGAGCTGCAGCCACATCCGGGTGGGCTCCATCCAGGCCCCCTCTCCCTTTCTCATGTCCCGGGCCAACAGGAGCATCATCATTATTATTGCTGGGGCCTCTGCAAGGAGGGGTGGAAAAAGGCCTTTCTTTCTACAGAAGCACTCACACAAAGGCACTCACACAATGGCGTTTTTGTCACTTGCACTGTCTCACCTGTGTCACCTGAGTCCCCCCCCCCAGCCCCCAAAGGAAACCTGGCAGAACAGAGCAGCCTCTAATCAAGAGGGCTCTCGGCCCCATCCTGAGCAGCGACCGAGCCCTCCTGATCGGCCCGGTGTTTGGGTGTAATCACAGGGCAAGAGGAACAAAATTGCAGCTTTGGTGTCTCCCATCTGGACCCAAATAAACACCAGGCCAGCCCGGTCACCCCTGCTTTTCCATGGCTCACTGGATGGTGACCTTTCCCCACTGTCCCCCCCCCTCTCTTATGGGCCCTGAAACTGCCAGAGCAGAGGCTCTTTTGGGGGGGGGGATTTCAAAGTCAATTTGTGAAGGAGGCAATCCTTTGAGCCCCGGGAGGGGCCATTTCACATTCCCAGGAGATGAGTTGAAGTAGAAGGAAGAAGGGTGAGGCCACACAATGGGATCTCCGAGCCTTTAAGGTTGCAAAGAGCATCCAAGTGGCTTCCAGATCAGGAGCCATGGCTAGGCATTCACATGGGGTTTATGCTGGGGTTCAGAAAGATGCCATCTTGCATCCCCACACTCTCTTATATATTTTTTTTCTGGGTTTTCCCTCACCGGAGAAAATCAGTGAAGGAAAAAAAGACAGAACAGCTTCAAATGCCTGAGTCAAAACACCCCTGCACTGCAAGGTCAGAAAGAAGAACGTTCCCCATCTGCCACTCAGGGGCCTTGAAGATCTCGCCCCCTGGAACATGGGCCCTATAGCTGCTCTTTCCATCAAGAGCTTCCCCCTTCTCGCCCTCCGGACCACATGACCAACAGCTTATGTTAAATTATCTGCTTAATATTGGGTGATTCCATGTTCACGAATGTCATTGGCAGGACCGTCGGTGAAGAGGCCTTCCACAGGCAGAGGGCCTGCGCCTCCAGCCCTCAGCCCCTAGGTTTACTCTGAGGAAAAGCTTGACAGGGTCCACCAGGAGACCAGCCTGCCGCAACCACAGGCTTTTTTTATCCCAGCGGTGGAAAGAGTCCGCTGTACAAAGCCAACAAACCAGGCCAAAGCTATTTAAAGCCGAGGTGGCTTAAAATAAGCCCAAAGAGGTTGCCTCAGAGGCTGGAGGAGAATGAATTGCTCTTGTCCGATGCACACACAAACCCTGGGGAATTCACAGCTCTGTGGCCACAAAGGGTCTCCTCCAGCGCCATACTCTTCGGATCCGTGAAAGCACCTCTCAACTCATCCAAGCCCACTGCTAGTCTTGGCCTGGGGCTCCACCAGGCCTTCTCCTTCCCACAACCATGTCTGGCTGAAAGGTAGAGAGGAAGGTGGGGTGAAGGGCAGGAGGGAGGGCTAAGGCAGTCCAAAAGGTCTCAGGCTTTTCGGGGAGCCAGGCCAGGAAGAATCCTGGACATCTGTGCCGAAGCGTAGGTCGTGTCAGGAGCAGTGGGGACGATCGGCACCACGGCAAGCTAGAGGAACCCGCTGCTTCTTGCATGGAGCAGAAGAAGGATGCTGGCCTTAGACTGCAGCACATAGGTGGGCAAAACTTGAGAAAGGTGTTGCTCTGAACTTGCTTCCTTTCCCTCAGCCCATGGGGAATACACGTGGGAGATGCTGTTGCAACCCTTCCTGCAGAAGGGCATCCCAGAGGGGGCATCAATTTGGCACTCAAGTGGAGTGGAAGGGTCAGGAATTGATTGCATGCTTATGAACTAGGTGTGTTTTAGAGAATGTGCATTTTGCTTAGAGTCAGCTTTCTGGCTCTGCTTTGCCCTCTAGTTTTTGTTTTTCTTAAAAGAAAGACAAATCCTAGCTTTGGGTGGGCCAGGAATAGCCAGGCTGAAATGCTAGTTGGCACAGGTAAGTAACACTTAGTGCCCTCATGCAAACCGGCCACAAAGCTCCGTCTCCTTAAGTTGCACATGAGAAGGGAATCAGAATAGAAAGTGAACTTATGGGTCGCTATGTTCTTCCAGCCCAGAGGCTGTACTTATGGGGGAGGGATTTCGTGCATAGCTCTGTAATCATGATCATTTCATAACCACCACCATTTCTTTGAGTAAGAGAATACCCTGTCATATTAACAAAAGCTAAGAATAAGCCGGTGTGAGAAGATTTCATAACTTTTTCTCCTTACATGTTCTGCAAGAATAGTTTAAGATTATAGGACGGTGCTAAAAGTTTACAATCCCACGGTATAAAAATAACAAAACCGTGGCTAAAAAAAAGGCCCGATGGGACGTTTTGAAACTACTACATAAGTGTCAGTTTTAAAAATAAGATTGCTACAGGAGGCCCATTGTTAAGCCTTGCTGGTCAGGTTCTGTGGGTTACCACAGCAGGAGTTGCTTTAGCTGTGCTGTGCCATCACCAGCAGCAGAAAAGAGAATCTGGGTCAGTAGAGCAAGACTCTGATTTTGGATTTTATTCACACAAAGCCCTGACAGTGTTGCTTCCACTGAAGAGTCCTTTTTATGATGGTTCTACTCTCAAGACAGGAAGGCTAGGCACTTGAGTGTCAGCTTCAGATCTCCCAGGAAAGGCCAGAAAGGATGATTCCCCCCCACACTTTTGTAATTAAATCTTAAGTAGGCTTGGTTGGCAAGCTCAGACCCACTCCTGAATGGAGGCCGCCCACAATAGGAAACGTGATTGCTTTGAAAATGGAGCCCTTTGTATCACCCAGGAACGGAAGTGTTTGTATGTCTGAACTAGGCATTTGTATTCCTGTGGGGTGTGCATGATGGGAGCTGCTTGAAACACTCCATGGGGCCCCGTCATTGGCATGCAGGGACTTGCCCCAGAATGCATTTGTATTCCTGTGGGGTGTACATGATGGGAGCTGCTTGAAACAGGCCTCCATGGGGCCCCCTGTCATTGGCATGCAGGGACTTGCCCCAGAAGGAACCAGTCAGCATTGTTGTGATCTCTTTAAGCATCCCACAACAAGCGAGCAGAAAATGGTGATGCAGTCTTGTGCCTTTCAGCTGTATTGAAAGTGTCACAGGTGCCCCCACAGAACATCTGGAGGGGGCTGTCATGTGAGAGAGGCCGAAATTGCCATAAATTTCACCAAGAGACAGTTCCCCTCTGAAGCAGAGGCAAGCCCTGCTCAGCTGTTTGGCCCTCATTTTGGAGTGCAGAACGAGTGAAGATAATGCAGAAAAGGTGATGATGAGCAAGTGAAGAAGGACAGGCAGAGTGAGAGGTCCTCCCAAGAATCAACCAAATGCTTCCTTCTCTTATTGGAAAGCCAGTGAGTGTGTTTTGTCGCAAATCTGAAACCCGCAGAAAATCCAACATGCACGTAAAGGAGAAAGCCCTCCTCCCAGTCACCCACTTACAAGAAGTAGCAGCTTTTCTGGTCTTGTCTCCATCCACTGCTGGAGGGTCTCTGTTGTGACCAACTCCACCCCGGGGAAGATCCCCTCCACCCATTTGATCGCCAGGGACCGCTTCTCTGAGGGCTCCTTCACGCCTGAAGCCTCCAGGTCCTTCAGGAATTGGTCTGCCATTGGCGTGAAAGGACTGGAAGATCTCGGAGGAGTGCAAAATAAAAATCTAAGGCAGGGAAAGCCCAACCAGGAGGTCACATGGCATTTATTGACGCAACCTTAACAATATTGGCCAGCACCACCCTTTTCCAAGCACACCTTCCAGAGGTGAACCAGAACAAAGGTGACTTTTCTCCATTTTGTAAGGTTGCCAGTTTTTTTTAAAAAAGGAACCAGGGTTTGATGGCATGGTTTGCTTCCCTGCCCCCATCTCCAGCTTTCCTAAATGAGTTCTTCAAACCAATGAGTGCAAAGAGAAGAGACACTGAGAATAAAACGTTAACTTTCTTTTTTTATTAATACAGAGCCTGGGTGCACTTTGAACACTTAAAAAAAATAGGCAGAAAGGGGCATTGGGTGTCAAACAAGACATTAAGGAGAAGGCACCCTCCCCACAAGTTAAGAGTAATGCTTCCCCCCCCTCCCCTTGCAACTGGATTTTCCGAAGGATACCTCCCCTTCAACCTGACTGGTAGATTAAAAGCTGCGTTTGCCTTCCAGAGATTAATCAGAAAGCCGCACATGGTAAATGGTAACCAAGCTGTGAGGAGGCAGCCAGGGAGGGCTCTGGCTAGCAAGCAGGTGATCATCCTTGTATCTATTGTGAGATGTTTTGTGGGATAGATATATGGTTTTCTCATAGATGAGACTCATCAGTGAACCTGGTTGACCTGAATGCATAATTTCCAGCTCCTTTGAAGTCCAGCCACACATAAATGCAAACCTGCCCCCTCCCCAAACCGGCTGACAAGGTGGGCTCTCCTCCCAGCAGCTGCAGCGGGACAGCTGCAAACGGGGCAATGCTTTTTTCTCCTTAATCAGGGATGGGGAACTGGGCCACGGGTTTGCCATGGAGGTGGGGGAGAGGGGAAGGAGAGTGGCTGAAAGGCATTCTGTGCATGGTCAGGAGCACTATCATAAGCGTGCTAAGTCAAAGCTTCGACTGAGCCCTGCCTATGATGACCTCAGGGTTAAAAGAGCCCGCAAGCACCCACTTTCAGAAGAATCAGGAACATCTTGTCTAACACAGCACTGCTAAAACCGTTCAAAAGAGATCGTGGGGAAAGACTACCATGCCCATCAGCCTCGATCATGGCCCGTGTGGGCTGGGGATGATAGGAGGCCTTTCTGAACTGGAGGGGCAGCAGGACTCTCTGCAACCCCCCCCCCCGGCTCCGAAGCTAGGCCTGGAGCATCCCCCGTTGCCCTGGCAACGCCTCCCCCTCGCGGCCGCCCGGGAGTTTCCCAGAATGCACCGGGCGAGGACTTCTGCCGGCCGCCGCTGCCGCCGCCATTTTGCGGCCGCTCGGAAGGCAGCGGAAGAAGACGTCGCCATGGAGAGCGGTGAGTTAGGGGTTTAGGGGGCGGACAGGCGGCGCCACCCCCGGACCTCCTCCCGATATTTGCTTCGCCCCCCTCACCCCGAAAGCTCCCCGGAGACCGGGCTCGGTGGCGCCTCCCTCTATGCCCCGTCCGCCTGCGGAACGCTCGGCCACGAGAAGGGCTGCGGGAGCGGGAGGCGGGATCTCCCTCGAAGCTGTGGGCGCTGTGGGGTGGGGAAGAGACGTCCCGGCGCTTAGGATCTTTTGCATGCCAAAGCCCGGTATCCCCTGTGTTGGCTGGGGGATTGTGGGAGTTGTAGTCCAGATCAGTGGTTAACCTTTTTGAAAGAAACGCCCCCTTGAGCCATTGAGGAAGTTATCATCGCCCCCGTCCCCACGGTGATCGCCCCCTGGGGGGCATTATCGCCCACGTTAAGAACCACTGGTCCAGATCATCACCAACCCCCCCCCTCCACAAACACACACACACACACACAAGAACCGTAGGAAGGCTTCTCTGGTCTCTGCTTCCAGAGAACCAGCAGTTCTCCACAGGGTCGCCCTCCAGCCTCTGATGCTGTCCTGGGGGAGGAAGTTGGATGAAGGGGGTGCAGTCTTCCATGGGGCCTTGTGTGCTCCCCCCCCCCAACGAGACGTTCGTGCAGGTTAGACTGGGAGGCAGGGAGCATCATCTTTTTGCTCACAGGTTGTTGTGCGGAAGGACCCGGTCCCAGATGTGGGTGTCCCCCCCCCCCGGATTCCTACTGGGCAGGGTGTGGGGAGGTGCTTCCATATGTGCTTAATTAGGAGGAAGCCACAATTTGTCTCTGAAATGGGAAACTAGTGGAGGGACCAACTTCCCTGGGCTTCTCAAAATATACTAATGCCAGCACTTCAGACATCAATTTTTTCTGAGATTGTGTAGGGTTTTTGAGGCCAGGAGTCCCCAATACTGTATGCTCATGCTCTGTCTCAAGTTATGTAAACACACAGCAACACCAGGCCGTGTAATTGGGTTGTATTTTTTGTGTAACTCCACATTTCTCTCTCTTTATATCATCAGATGACAGTGGAAATCGGCTCCGGTTTCAGCTGGAGCTGGAGTTTGTGCAGTGCCTGGCGAATCCCAATTATCTCAACTGTAAGTAACGGAGATGGGTAGGAGAGATAAATAAAAAAAAAAAGGAGATCTGATTTAGAGTTGATTTCTTGACTTTCTCAGCCAAGGACTGTAAAATGAAAGATGCACAACAGAATAAAGGCAACTGAGTATCTTGAGAGAGGAAATAAACAATCTCTAGATGTAAACTAATGTATGTTTCCAAGTTAGCCAATGTTGATGATATGTGAAATGTTGCTGTCAAGGGTAGTAACTAATGTGTATCCTTTATTTATTTATTTGTCTGGCTTGATTAGAATCTATAAACTGTTAAAAAATAAATAAATCTCTTTCATCTGTAATGCCAAACAGGAAGCCTAAAATACTTTAAAGTTGTTACAGCTACAAAGCTGGATTAGATACTGATACTGTAGTTTCTTTTTACAAAGCACTTCTCAGTGCTTGAATGTAGCTGGTTTCCAGCCCACTGTGTGGCTTTATAGGGGAGGAGGAACATAAATGGGCCTAAGCATGTGTATTGTTGGTTTTTTGTGTGTGTGCCAGCATCTCAGTTTAATCTCTGAAGTGAAATCGGGAATAATGATGACGGTTTACAGGTTGCTGGTGAGGCTAAAGTAAGAAATTCAATGTAATCCATGTTGATTTATGTATTTCTTTTAGTTCTGGCTCAGAGAGGATACTTCAAAGAAAAGGCGTTCGTAAACTATCTGAAGTACCTGCTGTACTGGAAAGAACCAGAGTATGCCAAATATCTAAAGTAAGAATTATGTTATTTCATAGAATGCCTCAAACGCAAAGCATCATCTTCTCCCTAGTGCCCGCATCTTGCATGGTGGAGGGTGTCCTATCCTTTTTAATGTGGTTTCTTCCCTGCTGTTTCAGGCCAGAGAGGGGCCTTGCAGTTTGCTTTTTCTGAATGCATCAAACAGGGATGGTTATGGGAGGCAAGTGAGACTCAATCGCTGGGTTTTCCAGTCTGTTCACCAACTGGCTTTAGTGTGAACATGTATATGTGCCTTTCTTTTCTAAAGCTTGAAAAATGCATCAGACCTTCTAATTTAGAGGAATTGAATGCCCCTCAGCCTCTTCCCACTAGCCTAAAGAAGCATGTAACCATTTCACAGCGGAGTAGATGGCAATTATGTGTTGCAAAAGCCCCGCGGTTTGCCCAACCCAAGCTCTGGACAGTTACAACTGCTGAGGCGGCAAAGGGAGATACTGTCCTATTTTGCAGCCAACGTCATTTGCATGCCTGTTCACTAAAGCTTCAGTGGGAGAGCTGAGTGTCTGATCTAGACTGTCTTGATGACGTTGCTTGCTTTGATTTAAACCTGCCCTCCCTATTTACCAAGCAAATAAGCACGTCACCATAGTCTTTCGAGACTGAAGGATGCCTAACTAACTAACTAAGCATGTGGGGGGAGGGGCAAAGCTGCAAAAGAAGGGCCCCTTGTAATGCCTCTTGGCCCTTGTCTTCCAAAGGTACCCCCAGTGCCTGCACATGCTAGAGCTGCTTCAGTACGAGCACTTCCGCAAAGAGCTGGTGAATGCCCAGTGTGCCAAATTCATTGACGAGCAGCAGATCCTGCACTGGCAGCATTATTCCCGCAAGCGGATGCGTCTCCAGCAGGCCCTGGCCGAGCAGCAGCAGCAACAGCAGCAGCAGCAGCAAAACAGCACCTCTGTCAAGTGAGCCTTTTTGTCCCACAAAAGCCTCCCTGGCACTGGCGGAGTGGAGACGTGGCCGCTTTGGTTCGATAGGGTTTGGCTTTCCAGAGACTGTACACCAGTGGCTTCTTTCAGCAGGGGGTCGGGTGTTGGAGAGTTTCTTCTCCAAATTCCTGGGCATGGCTGCTGTATTTCCCGAAGCCCTGGTGGGGGAGTAGGGTGGGTGTTGAAATGTGTGTTCGTTCACTGTGATGTAGGGGCAGCTAGGTTGTTTTTCTTAGGATAGTGGTTGTGGATGGTGATGGTTGCACATTCCTAGATTGTAAAAAGCCAGGAGCCTCATTTGTGAGATGGCTCTTCCTCCTGCTGCTGCAGCAGCTGCTCTTAGATCTGGAAGAGATCTCTGCTGTTTCAGCTTGCTCATTATTGGTGCGAAAAGCCACTAATTTAACATGGAATCGGCAACTGAGAATTACTTGTTGCTGTGCAGTGCAAAACCCCTTCTGCAGAAGGTTAGGTCTGTTCTGAAAGCGACTTACATTTCTGCTTACATCAGCTTGATGGGGCTGTGATATGCTGAGGCACTGCTAGAAAAGCGCTTTCCACCAATGCAGAGATGCTGCTTGGTAGGCACTAGCGTTCCTGTCTAATAGGAGATAAACTGCATTTACTGTTGGCCACAGCATTCCTCTTAGGGGTTCGTTTAAAGTCCCACCAGCTTTGAAATCTTTCTGTTTGATTTCACTGGAACTTTTTCATCCTTTTCTTCCCGTATCTTCCCTGTTGCCACTAAGTTCCTTGACAGCAGAGACCTCTCTTCTTTATAATACCCTGTATGGAACTCTGAATTATAAATTGTGGCAACAATCAGTGTTTCAGTTGGTGCCGTATCCTGGGATGGAATGCTGTCAGCTTGCCTTCAGTCAATGAGAGTGGCTTGGCGACCGATTCTCACAAGAGGCTCAACAGCCTCTGCAGCAAGTTTCTGATGTACCTCTTAAATTACAACAAGTATCTTGTTGGTGTTTTCTTCAAAGTCAGTAAAAGAATGAATTATTCAAGCTTTACTCATATCTTCATTTTTAGTCAAGGCAGGCTCCTAAATTGGGTTAAAACTAAAACTCCTATAAGCGTTTAAGAAATACGGAGGCTGGCATATAAGCTCTCTGGGCAATTTGGGGGGATATGCCACAAGAGGAATGAAAGGTGCTGACATGGCTTCGCTATTGACTGCTGCAACCTCCTGTCCTGCCTGAACAGAAAGCAGGCACAGAAGCCCAATGAATCCTTTCAGAACTCCTGGTTTTACAGCAGAAGGTGAAGACACATATTGTCTTCTATACACATAATAGGACTTCAAAGTAGACAGATCTGAGCTTATGCTATGTTTTTTTCATTGTCTTCTATACACTTAATAGGACTTCACAGATCTGAGCTTATGCTATGTTTTTTTCAGCTATACGCTTAAGTAGTATGACATACTGCAGCTTTACCCACTTTAATGGACAGAGTTTGGTTTTTGAAAATTTTTTATTTAAACCCATTGTTTCAACATCACTATTACATTTGTCTGCAGTTTAAGACATGATTATGGTCCCTTTTAACATAGCCTCTGACAAGCACAAAAATCAGTCTTCCTGAAACAGCATCCGCACAAGTTCAGGGTTAAAGCACTCTTCCTCCACCAGCTTTTGAGGCTGAAACAGAAGTTACAGAATTAGAGGGTTCAAGCGTTTGTGTCAACATCCACATTTGCTGCAGGCTTGGTACATGAGATGCCCTGACTCATAAAATAAGCCATAGCCTTTTGTTTGCAAGACATTTTGGAGGTTGTTAATTCACAGGGTCACCAAAAGCTGGCATGTAATAGCAACAGAATACAGTGGTGCCTCACTTAGCGATGTTAATTTGTTCTGAAAAAATCGCTGCTAAGCGTTTTCATCGCTAAGCGAAACACTGTTTCCCATTGAAATGCATTGAAAACCAGATAATCCGTTCCAAAAGGAACGAATTGTCATCCTTAAGCGAAAATCGCCATAGGAAACATCGCTAAGCGAAACGCGGTTCCTCAATTGAAATGCATTGAAACCTATTCAGTGCATCTCAATGGAGGAAAAAAAATACAACACATTTTAAAAGAGTCAAAACAAAGTCAAATTTGGCTAACAAAGGGTTTATTAAGTGCACTTTATTATTTCAAATATTTTAAACAGCAAACTTTAACTTTATAAATAACAGAAAAACATTTAAAAAACAGCAAACATGAGGCTGTTTAAACCATCGTTAAGCGAAACAGGGGTCCCAACCATCGCTAAGCGAAAATCACCCATAGGGACCATCACACTCCGAAAAAGTCGTCGATAAGCGATTTCATCACTAAACGGAGTGCCCGTTAAGTGAGGCACCACTGTATGATATTTGTTTCCACACCAGAGCTCATTAACAAAAAAGGGAGTTGAGGAGAGGGAGAGCACAGAAGAATAGAGACTGGAGCTAAGGAAGACTCCCACCTTCAGCCAAGTGAATTAGCTCTCTTTGTAAGTGCTAACAAAAAATGTGTATGTCACACAAGCCTAGATTCAGTCAGCTGTCAATTCCATCATATGAAGAAGTGCCATGACCTCTGACCCATCCTCTGAAGAGTTAGGCGTAAAACCCAGGAATACTTACAGTTCCATATTTGAGAAGCGTAGGCACTCCTGTCAGCTTAAGATTCTTTCTGAATTCATTATCAGGATCTTTCCAGCTGTACAAAGTTATAATCATGTGTGAGTGGTTTAAAAAAGCATTAGGCAAATCTGTGAAGGTTTTTGAAGAAGACAGGGCAGCTGTGAGGTAAAACATTGGCAGAGCTCTCCTCAAAAGGCCTTTCTCTGGTTGGTTGGTTGGTTGGTGTGTGTAAGATGAAGGTTGGGTGAACTTTGACTGGGCCATCTTTTCTACAGGAAGACCAAAGTCTACCCTGGGGCATTCCTCTCAAAACCTACCAATAAAGCACAGGTATAGAAGCAAACACTCCTCTTACTTTGTCTCTTCAACATCCATGGCAATGTCTACAAACTTTACCTGTTCAAGCTCTTCTGCATTTAGAAAACTAAAGGTTTCAACCAAGAGGAGAGGATGGTGTTGGGACAGAGCATTTCCCAGATAAAGAAATGACACCAGAACAGGTCCCTCTGGTGCAGTGGAGCTGCAAGTCAGCTAAAAGGGCTGCTCTGTGTGCAGCCTCTGCTTCGAATAGGTGGGCTTTCTTCAGGGCTAATAAATTTGGCAGAGGGAGGGTCCATTTGCACCAGCCTCCCACAATCTTTCCAGGTGAGCTACACTGCACAGCGGTGCTGCAGTAAATCCGAAGGGCCCAGGAAGCTCACTGCTGGTTCCATTCTGTAGGGACTATGTGACACCCCCCCCCCAATCCTTTTGGTTCAGTTTCCTTTACTTACTAGGCTCTGTCTCCTACTTGGCAGTAAATGAACACAGCTCCATCCGGCAGGTTCTGGAGCTCAGCCCGCCCGATGGGTTCAGCTGGAAGGCAAAGGCAGGCGGTGCAACTGGCAACTCGGTCTTCGGCAGAGGTTGCATTCGGTGCCCGACCACGGTCGCTCTAAAATCCCAACCCGCAACCTTTGCATCCCTACAACATCCTAGCAAGGGGGAGGGCCTGTGGGGGCGAAGGATGATGGGAGTTGGAGCCCAAGAGCATCTGGGCGGGGTCACCCGCACGATGAGGCCAAGGCGTGAAAGTGAAGCCCGAGGCCGACCGCGGAGCAGCTTCCTTGCGGCGGAGGCGACCCTCGAACCCCCCCCAACCAGTCCCCCTCTAGCTTCCCGGGGACGGAGGGGGGGGAAGCCCAACCGTTTAGGCGACTCGAGGGCGAGGAGGAGGCGACCTACCCTTGACGCAGTCCGGGCACCAGCTGATGCCGGTGGCCGGGTCTTTATCGCCGCTGAAGTAAACGAAGATCGCGCAGCCGGCCTTGCGCTTCTCCCGGACCACCCGATCCAGCTCCGCGTAGCCGCGCACCGAGACTTCCTCCCAACCCATGGCCGAGCAGAGCACGTGATAGAACCCGGAAGGAGCCGCGAGAGAAACCGGAAGTGGGGCCGACGGTGGCCCCAAGCTCCCAAAAAGTCCCCAGCGAGGCCGCGCGTGGCGGCGGGTGTTTCCCTTGGCCCTGACAGTGGCCATTGTCGGCACCCGTAGGACACGTTGCTGGCGTCCCTCGCGACGCGTGGTTGCTACGGGAGCCGCGGCTTCCGCCTCCTGCGCGGCCGGCGGGCTTTTTGTGGGGCCGCTGGGGCGCCTCGCCCGCCGCAGCTCCTCTCGTTAGGCCGGCGTTGCTTGTGGGCCCTGCGGGAGCTCCCGGGACAGTCCTGGGCCGGCCCTGGGAGGAGGCAGGTGGGTAGTTTACGTAGACTGCTTCTGCGCGGGGAGGCTCTGCTCGTGTGTTCGCCCTAAGTGGTCGGTTTTGGACTACAGCTCCCAGCATCCCCCATCCAACTGTGCTGGTTTGGGAAATCTGAGAATTATAGGAAAAAAAAAGTCACGTTACTTCATTGTGGCCCCTCTTGGCCTTCGGCCAGATTGTCTCTCCCCAAACCGGATGACGCTGGACTACAGGTCCCATTATCCCTGCCCTCCAGTCCTCCTGCCCGTGACTGTTGGGAGCTGCAGTGTGTACTCTGGCGGGGGTGGGGCGGCCTGTGCTCCCCCCCAACCCGAGGGGGAAGGAGCCCAGCCTTCACAAGGCCTCTCCAGGGCAGCACCTGTGGGACCCTCCACCTGCTGGGCTTGCCCCCTTTCCTCCTCCCCCTGAGCCCCTTGGGTGGTTGGACTGAGGCCTCCCGGGAAGGTTCCCCGTCTGGAGGGGCTGCGGGTAAGAATCCCCAAGGTTGGTTCAGCAAAAGGCGCCAGTGCACCTGCAGCCACCTTGTTTTGTGCCTCCTTGGTCTCTGAGAACACAAGGATTGCCCCCCCTCCCGCTCCGGTTGTGGAAGAATTTGGGGACCTGCAGCTCTCCTTTCAGCCGGAGCTTCCCAGAATTGCCCTCTGCTCCTCCACTCCTGAGGACAGAAGAGCCTGGATGGAGCCTCTGTTTTTCCTGCAGCCTCCCAACAGAGGACAGGAGACCCCATGTGCTTGCAGAGTCTTCGGCTAGACAAGATGGAAGCGAGGAAGTCAGCCGCCGTTGGCGTTCCTGTGACATCCCGTTTACAGCCAGACCAGAGGGCCCCACCGACGCAGGTAGGAGGGGAAAGGAGGTTGCTTTCTGGTCTTGATGGCACAAAGACCCAGCTATGTCACCTCTGTTTTGCCTGGCCCATTCTTTGAGATAAGCTGGCAGCCTTTAACATGGGGCAAGATGGGGTGATCTTAGGGTTTCCGTCAACGTTTCACAGAGGCACAGCACTTTTGGGTGTCGATTGCCAAGAAACCCAACTAATAAGGACTTGGCCTGGTGTCAGGCCTTTCCCCCCAGATTCTCGTTTTGGAAACTTGTTGCAATGGGACGTGTGTAGAACATAATTAAAATGTTGCTTATTCTGCAATGCTGAAGCTCCAAGCTCAAAATCCAGGCAGAAGCCTGTCTGCATTTTTTTCTTGGAAACCTCAAAGAATTTGCTTAATTGGCATTCCTAGCCGAGGGCACAGGACCATTGTGGATGATGTGGAAAGGAGCCCAAAATATAAGGAAACCAACAACTTAATAAACCTGCCGTGGAACGATGCCACCATAACAATTAATACAAACCCGCTAATTGTTTCATGTCTACTCTGTGTGTGATCTAATACAAAAGATAGGGTGGGTGTATTGACGTAACATAACAGGATGGTGCTGGTCTTGCTATGCGCCAGGGTATCAGAAAAGCCTGATTTGAATACTGCTAGAAGTAGGGGGTGGGGAAAGGGACATGGTGGGCTGCAAGGTCAGAAGACCAGCCGTCACTTGTCCCAGCTCCTGCCAACCTAACAGTTCAACAGCATGTAAAAATGCGAGTAGATAAATAGGTGCCACCACAGTGGGAAGGTAACAGCGTTCCGTGTCTAGTCACGCTGACTACGTGACCACAGAAACTGTCTACGGACAAACGCCGGCTCTACAGCTTGGAAACGGGGATGAGCACCGTGCCTTAGAGTCAGACATGACTGGACTAAATGTCAAGGGGGACCTTTTAGGGGGTGGGGGTGGCAGTGGAGGAAGGCGTCCTCAAAGTCTGAGCCCTTCAGTTTTCTCTCCTCTTAAAAAGGGCTCAGCAGTAGTGTAGATGAGGTGCTCCACAGTTGTCCCCTGTCTCTCAGATGTTCTCCTTGATTATGCTGATCTGGTTTCTCAGAGGAGGTGACCGTGGCACAAGGCACCTGGGCCCTGGCCGCGTCTGCACCTCTATTGAGGCTTCATGGGTGTTGCTTCTTGGGCGTGCTTTCTGATGGATACTTTTCCTTGGGGAGGCCGGCTGGGCCAGCCCTGCTTCTCCTCTTGCCCCATGACTGCTCTACACATGGGAATGGGAGCATCCAGATTGGCCTAGGGTTGTTCCCTTACCCCTGAGATATTGTACAGTACGTTGGGCCGCAGGGGCTGCCACATCCCACAGAGTGTTGTGCTTGAGCGGGGGAGGGGGTTTGGAGCTGGGTTTCCTCACTACGAAGACCCACACTGTGAACGAATGCAGCTCACCCATTTTGTGCATTTGATGTTCGGCACAGCTTCAGTTCAGTTGGAACGCTCCAGCCTCGTCAGAGAACCCGCCTGCCCGATTAGCCGACCCTCGTCCGATCATCATCGAAAAGCTGAAGCCGGCCGAGGGCAGCCAGCCTCGGGACCACCGTGCTGGCGACGGGCTTGACCTTCAGGGCTCCGTGGAGTTTTCCGTAGTCTCCCAGGAGAAGCTCGACTGGGCAGTCCAGCTAGCCAAGAGGGATGTCCGACGCAGGCACCTGGAAGAGCAGGTCCATCAGCATCTTTTTGGCAAGGGTGAGGGTCCCGCTCCATGCCCTCAAGGGAAGGAGTCTGGAAGTGCCTCCAGGCTGAGAGCCTCCAGGCCCCGTCCGAAACACGAAGGCCCGCCTGGCAACGCTTGCAAGGCAGAGAGGACAAGTTCCCGCGCAAAAGTCTACCTTCGTATGCCGACTCAGGGCGAAGCGCAGCAGCCGCCTTTGTCTGATTCGCCCCCAACTCACGATCCAGGGCTCACGCCTGTTTCAGTCCTCAAAAGGGAGACAGATAGGAGCGTGTTGGAAGTCAGGCGGCTGCAGAAGGAGCTCCAGGCCTACATCCAGAAAGTCGAAGAGCTGGCCAGAAAAGGTGAGCGAGGAGGTGGACGGTTCCCCTGTGGTGGGAGCCCAGGCCTGGGTTCCCTCTCCCAGAGTCCTATCTGGTTGGTCCCAAATGGGGAGAGAGAGCAGGATGCAGGCGGGTTGCCGGCACCAGGAAGAGGCGTTGCTTCTGGCTTAAAACTCTGTGCCGTCTGAAGCGCAGCTTCTGTCCTCTCTGTCCAGTCATGCTGGGGAAGCGTTTAATGCATCTTTGGAAAGAGGGAGCTCTTTCCTTGTGATTTTGCAAGCAGTTTTTCCTCTTGGTCAGAGGGCTGCTTTCGTCTCAGCTGCTCCTCTGGGTCTCCCTGAGATGCCCTTGAGCTTCTCACTGAGCCTGGCCTCATGGCTTGTCTTCGGCTAAACCGTTTTCCAGAGAGAAGCGAAATGACCTTGGATCCCGAGGAAGAGCACCGGGTCCGTGTACGGAGGCAGGAGCAGGCGGTGCGCTCAGCCCGGACGCTGTATGTGCTTCAGCAGCAGGTGTGTGTGGGTGTGTAGGTGAGAACCAGGTGCCTGGGTCTGCGCTGGAGGCTTTGTTAGGGTACCGGAGGCCCAAGGACCCTGGGGGGTCAAACCCCCACAGCCCGTGGGCTCTAACTGGGCAGTCGCCTGGCCTGACGCGGCGTGTAAGTGAGAACCAGGTGCCTTGGTCTGCTCTGGAGGCTTTGTTAGGGTACCAGAGGCCCAAGGACCCTGGGGGGCAAACCCCCACAGCCCGGGGGCCCTAACTGGGCAGTCGCCTGGCCTGACGCGGGCCGCTGGTCTTGTTGCCTCTGCTGTGATGCTTCCTGAGACCTTTTCAATTCGTCCCGTGTGGCTGATTAGGTGAAGGAAATACAAGACGATCTGGAGAAGCTGAGTCCGCACAAAATCAAGCACACCAAGAAGGTGAGCGCCTGCATCTGCCCAGGAGTTTGGAAGGGGCAGGGTTTCCCTCCGGGGGGGGGAGCCCTCCTCGGCAGGGGAGCCCGTGTGGGTTGAGTGGGGCTTCTGCTCTCTGCCCGTCAGTCAAACTGGGCTCCACCTTCCTCCTGATTCAAGCATCCCCCCGCCCTCTCCCCAACCCCAGGCAACGAACCCTCCTTCCGAAACCTCCTCCTGCAGCCCCCGGGCCCAGCGAGACCTCCCTGGCTCACTAGGCTGTGGCTACCCTGGGGCAGGCCCCTCTTCCCCACCCGCTCACTCCTGCCTCTCGGTTCCTTCCTTTATGATGCAGTCGAGGGCCATGGCCAGGCTGGCAGCCGCTCACAGAGGGGCCGTCCGGGCGCTGCAGACTTTCGTGACTCACTTTGCCGATCAGCATCCGCTGCCGCCCTCCACGGCCCACTTCCGGCAGCTGGGCCACCTCCTCCGGCAGCTCTCCCTCTGCTCCGCCCGCCTCGAGATGGACGACTCCATTCCGGATGTGATCGTGGACCTGCTGCTGCAGATCGAGGTCAGCGGAGAGTTGGTTCGGGAGGGGGGGGGACGGTGGGGGCTGCGGGGCAGAGAGATGTTTTCTCCCCTCCTAAGAGAGGACCCCCCCAGGAGTTTGGGAGTCCAGTGTTGGAAGAGTCCCTGTGCCATCCGAAGCCTCTGCCTTGTTCGCCGTTTGCAGTGGACGGAGAGGTCGTTAACCTTAACCGACACGATCGGAAGAGAAACCAGAATATGGGAAATATTTTCTTACAGAAGGATTCAAGGCATGTGTGCTTCAAGGCCCCCCCTTTTAAAAAAAAACCCAAAGGGCTCCTTATGTAAATGACATGTTTAAGTACTTGTTCAAGCTTTTCTGAGGCCCTCTTTGAGTCTTGCAAGCTCGTTTATCTCAGGAGGCTTGTTCCAGGGACTCTTTGTCTGGGCCTCGACTACGACGAGCCCCTCTGAGCCGGCCCTCCGCTGGGCGGGCACCACACGTTTAACGTGGGATTTCCTTTGCTGTGGCAGGACCTGGATGTTCTTCTTGCAAGGCGGGGCTCTCCCAAGCAAAGGCCGGGAGTCCCCCCGCTGTCTCACGGGGACCCCCTGAAGGGCCCCAGCCGGTTGCCACAGAGAGAGAAGGCGGCCGTGGTTGCCTCGGAGTCCCAGAAGCCAACAGCAGCCAGGAAGCTTCTCCCAGGTGGGCTTCTGGAGGTTTGGATGATGGAGGAGGGAAGGGGTCTCAGATGCTGGCATACTTTTGCCTGCATCAGTGAGAAGCTGGGGGAAGGGGCTCTGCCAGGGGCTGGTTCCTACTTGGTTTTATTTGGGGGAACTCTTCGTTATTCACATTCCTCCCGAAATCCGCCCCCCCCCCAATGTCTCTTCTTCCTGGATTGAAATGTGGTCCCTGTCACTTTTTTGTCTTGTCTGGGGTGGGACATGGAATTCCATGCTGTTTTCTTTTGGTACCCCTTGTACTGCGGTAGCTGATGGGAGTTGGAGTCAAAGGCCCCATGCCAACTTACCCAAACCCAGAGCCTTCCTTGTATTCTGGGGTTCAAGCCGAAGTCACGGCAGATCCTTCCTTTGCCTCCATTTCCCCTGTTCCTCTCTCGACTTTCCCGGGTCCAGTTTTGACTGTAGGCCCTTTGGGGCAGAGACCTGCCGTACGTCCTCTCCCTAATGCACTGGGGGCTCAAGAGGTGCGGCCACCAGGTTAATTAGTGCCGTTCTGTGATGATTGTTTGCAGATGAGCCTCCGAAGTCTGAGGAGATCTTGCATCAACACGAGCCAAGTGGCGCAGGAGGTGGCACCAGGCCGCCGGAGGGCCTGCCCCCTTCACAGGCAGAAGCTGTTGGGCAGCAAGGTGCGGGGGAGACCTCTGGGCCGAGGAAAGCAGCCACGGGGCCCAGCCACGACCACGGCCCCTCGCGGAGGAAGGGAGGCGTGTTGTTTTCCACCCGACCGCAGGTACGGCAGGAGAGACGTGTAATCATTGATCCCACCTCCCCTGTAATTTTGAGTGCTGCCAGACCGTGGCTCGCCTGTGATGTCATGCCTCGGTTGCCCAGAATTACAGCTCTTCGGATGCAGACGCCGGTGGGCATTTACCTCTCAGGAGACGCACGGGGTCGTCTGAAAGGACACCTGATGTCTATTTGTCTATTTCGCTGCAGGGAAGCGAGCGACCTCCCAGGACGAAAGGGGCCCATCCTCTGGCTAAGCAAGCCCGCTTCCGAGAGCCCACCGTCTCTTTCCGGATGAAGGAGACGAAGCCCCCCGTGCGAGAGTGCAGGACCCCCTGGGTGCCCCCCAGCCTCACTTCTCCCCTCAGTTCCCCTCAGAGGTAGGCAGGCCTGGGCATCCTTGCAGCAGAGGGAGGGGGGGGGAAGAAAGAAAGAGTGATGAGCAGGGTGCAATGCTTCCGATTCTTTTTTTCCACGGGAAGGCCTGTGGCACAAGTTACTGGCCACTCTGGGCTGATCAGAAAATCCAGTTGGGGGGGTCCCACAAAGACACGCTGCCCCTAACAACACCCGCAGAGACCCCACATCAGAGTCTCAGGAACAATTCATTTCTCCAAACGTAAGGAATTATTCTGAAGATCCTGCATAATGTCGTTGATTTGTTAATGTGTAGAATCGGAAAACTGCCTCAAGTGCAAAAATGTTCCACTTGGGCATTTTAGAAAGAATTGCTTAAAAACAGTGAAAAATGGTTTCTACCCACAAGTTTGTATTGCGTCCTGGGTATAACCATCCCGATTTCTTGGTAGACAAGATTTTTCTCCCCTGAACGGCCAACTTTGAGAGAAGTTTGGCTTGTTAGCACAACCGTGTAGGCCTTATTTTAAGTTCTCTTGGCAGGGGAGACCTAAATGCACAGCGGCTGCGTAGTGCCCTTTATTCAAGGATCCGTTCCCTCCCTCAAAGGAGCCAGGATCCAAGACCAGATTGTATCGACAGCTCCTTTCCCGAATTTCTTTTCAGGCACCCGGAGAGGACCCCCGAAAGCAAAGAGCCATCTCCAGAGAGGGGGGCGGCGGCAGAAGGAAAGCAAGGGACCCCAAGAAAAGAGATGGTCAGGTGGGCAGAAAGGGTGGGTACATCCTGGGGGGCAGGGGCAGGTTGGAAGGGTGACCCTTTGAAAGGGGGGGGCCTTCAGGAGCCTCTCTGTCCTTTCCTCAAGAGCCCATGGGAATTTTTTTCCCCCTTCAGCAAGATGTCCCTATTGGTGACCCTATTTGATCCTTCCCGGCGCTTAAGATCATCCAAGGAGGCCCTCCTCTCAGTCCCGTGGCCAGCACAGGGACGATGGATGGGGACACAAGGGAGGGCATGTTCTCTGTGGCCGCTCCCAGGTTATGGGATGTTCTTCCTCGGGAGATCAGGCTGACCCACCTTCCATTGATCCTTCCACCGATAGCTGAAGACCCACCTTTACAGGCAATCGCGGCATTTAACAATCGTGTCTGAGTCTCCGAAGGCCATTTTAAACGTAGTTTTTAATGTGTATTTGTGTTTAATGATCCAATTGTATTTTAACGTAACCGGTTGCCCCTTTCTCACCTGACCCACATGGGTAGGGGGGGGCTGAATTGGTCCAGCTGTGCTCCTAAGGAAGGTCTCACCACTGTAGGGAAGAGGAGGGGGGCTGAATTGGTCCAGCTGTGTTCCTAAGGCAGGTCTCACCACCGTAGGGGAGAGGAATTCGGGGGGGGGGCTTCCATACAGACTGATTTTTTTTCTTAGTGAACTTTATCAAAAAGAGGGGGGGCTCCAGCTTCCTGTTGTACCCCAAGTAGGACAGCTACGTGGCTTCGTTGGGAGGGCGAGAGAGCTTCCAGCAGGAACCAACTTGCTGCCTCTCGACAGGGCGGAGGGCAGCTCTCCCACCCAGATCGCGAAGAAGATTGAGCAGGCCGTTCGGGAGCGACTGGAGCCCCTCTTGGCGAGGGCGCAGGTAGGGCTGGGCCAAGCGGTTTCTGCTCCTCTCCTGCCTTCCTTCTGGGGACCTCAAGGTGGCGCCCGGGGTTCTCTTTTCTCCCCTTAACGGTTAACGTTCTTGCCAGGCCCTGTCAGGCGGAGAGAGGCTTGTGGGTTTGGTGGTTCTGACTGTCCCAAATCTCCCCCCCCCGCCAGCAGCCCAACCGCTCCCCTGCAAGGACGTTCCTTTCCAGACCAGCCACTGTTGCTCAATCCCGCTTCCCCTCGTTTTCTTGGCTCTGTTTCCCACGCTTTGAGTTCCTGTGGCAGTGAGTTCCATCGGCGTGTGATGGGCTAGAAGCTGTCCTCGATTGGCACCCCCAGGTTTCCTTTGGGCTGCACCGAAGCCCCCTCGGGAGGCCCTGCTGGTTAGTCCTTCGGCATCCTTCTCTTTTTCCTCAGAAAGCCAACCTTTCCTTGGAGGGGAGCGTCGGCCGGAGGGAGCCTTCAGGAGACCGCCTACCGCGACCCCTGGACCGGGGGAAGGTACAGCTCTTGGCCGCGGGTCGGAGGAAGCCCAGGAAGGCTTTGCCCCTCAGCCTACACTTCGGGGGGGGTCGTGGTCAGTACATCCTCTGGGTTGCCAAGCCAGAGGCCGGCCTGCATGAGGCTGGCTCTCCCCATTGCCTCCCCCCTCCCGCAGCCTTGCCCCAGAGGGCACCAGCTCTCCTTGGCCATCGGTTCTGATCCAGTGGCCAGGGCCCCCCCTTTTGGGGCACAGCCCAACCTCTTTTCCTGTGTCCCTTGGCAGACCGTGGTGGCAGAGAGAGGGGATCTGGAAGGTGGCCCGGAGGCTTCAGCTGGGGAGCAGCTGTGGATGATGGATCCGGAGTCCCTCCTGGCCCCGGGTGCCCCTGACCTGGAGGCGATGCTGCAGAGAATGGAGGAGATGGAGGTGGGTGTGCGTGGAGGCGGCAGCAGCTGCCGAGGGCTGAGCTAGGCCAGTCCCTTGGTCCTTCGTCTTGTCTGGTTCTAAAAGGGTCCCGTCTCCCTGGGGAGGAGGGGGAGAGAGAGAGAGAGGTCTGGGCCTCCCTTTTGGCTAGCTCGTCTGCCTCCCTGAGCTTCCCGAAGCTCCTTTGCGGTTCCTCCCGAGGCCACTAGGTGGCATCCCGTGCATTGGCAGGAACCACAGGGCAGGCCTGCCGGGCAGTCCCCCTTCTGCCCCCAACAGCGAGGAAGTGAGTCGGGAATTGGGGCTGGGGGGTCTAGAGGGTGTCGCCTGGGCCCCGCAGTGACATCCCCCCCGCCTATTTTTCTCTGTTTCTTCTGAAGCGCTTCCAGGAGGCTGTGCGCAGGCGATACCACCAGATTGTTTATTCCGACACTGAGTTTGATGCCCAGGAAGCGAGGAGGGGTGAGTGTCTGGCGGTCCCTCCTTTTGAGGATGAGAACTCAGCCCCAGCTGGGCTCAGAGGCAGATGCCCTGGAGTGTGGCTGAGCGAGAAGACCAGGGCTTGCCCCAGGCGGCTTGGGTCCCTCCTGGCCTCCTCTTGATGCAGGGGGGCCACAGCAACCCTCCCTCCCCCCCCCCCCCCTTTCCATAGATCTGGTTCCCACAGAGCCTGCTTTTATGGAGGGACTGCAGACCAATAGACTCTGTGTGTCCCCCCCCCCCAAATGCCTGGAAGTGGGGCAGGGGGTTTGGGATCAGTTCTTCCTCTGTCTTGAGGGGGGGGGAGAGAGGGAGGGCTAACCTTCCTGTTTTCTGATCCTCCTCCTAGAGAAAAGGTGGGGGGCAGAAGAAAGCAACCCAGGGGCCGGTGGCATTCCCCCGTCTCCCATCCAGATCACGAGGCTGGCGAGCCATAGAGAGGCGCAGGTGGATATCGTCCTGGAGAGGCCCTGGGATGCCGAGTGAGTAAGAGGCCCCGGCGGTCAAAGCACGCTTGGGGGGGGGAGCTTGTGTTGAAGCCCCAGCGGGAAGGCTGGAGGGAGCCTCTCATGCTGGCCCAAGGGGGCCCGGCTGAGGGGGCCCCTCAAAGAATTCCCAAGCCCAGTGTGAGGGAGAGTCTTCCCAAGGCAAGGAGCGGAAAGTGGCGCTGGCTTCTCATGCTTAGGGCCACGGGAAGAGGACCCCCACTGCCCCCCCCAGCCTCTCTGGACTTCTGGCCTCATGACAGCGTTCCCTGGGCCTCTCTGGAGGGGTGAGGGAGCTTTCAAGCCCCACTAGCTGAAAAGGGACGCCCGTCCAGGACAGGGACCATGAGTGGCCCCCCTGTGAGCTTCACTCTAAAGGGGGCCACCTCCTACCAGTCCCAGGCAGGCTCAGCCGAGGGGCAGAGGACCAGCCGGAGTGTGGAGCGCTCTACGGGGCCCCTTTTGTGTCTGGCCTGGCCCTGAGCCCTCGCTCCTCCTCCTGCTCCTTCCCGGTGGTGCATCCAGCGCTGTGCAAGAGGAGGACTTCCCAGAGCCCCCGGGCCATGGGGCTGAGCATCCATCCGCACAGCACCTCCCTCCCCAGAGGAACGGCGGTGATGGCGGCGTCTTTTGCTCCGTCCCCGTGAGCACCCTCCAGAGCATCCGCGATTACGGGGCCTGCTACGAGCAGAACCTGAAGCGCATATCCCATGCACATGTGGG